CAGACATCACTATTTCATCAAAGAAATGGGTAGGAGTTAGACTCCCCAGTGATCCTTCTGAGTCAATCACAACTCGGTTGTCCCTTTGAACCTAGATCTTGGGATCTCCAGTCAACTAGGTTGGGTTGCCGTTGTGGTAACTCTTATTTAATAGGCTTAAGTCCCATTCCCCTCGATGAATTCTCAACTAACTCTCTTGCTAACCCTTTGGTTAGTGGATCCGCCATGTTGTCTTTAAACTTAACATATTCTATGGAAATAATTCCATTAGAGAGTAGTTGTCTCACGCTGTTATGTCGACGACGAATGTGTCGTGACTTACCGTTATACATATGACTCTGTGCTCTACCAATTGTTGATTGACTATCACAATGTATGTATATAGCAAGCACCGATTTTGGCCATATTGGAATATCTTCAAGGAAGTGGCGAAGCCATTCTGCCTCTTCCCCTGCTTTGTCTAAAGCTATGAATTCAGATTCCATAGTAGACCTAGCAATACAAGTCTGTTTGGAAGATTTCCAAGATACAGCCGCCCCACCAAGAGTAAAGACATACACCCGAGAGAGGAGAGGAGTTGCCCATAAAAACTTGTTCACCATTGTCCACAAAGAAGATGTGAAATCTTTTTGTCGGCACAAATATGGTGAGTAGCACCAGTGTCCACCTACCATTCTTTAGGATTCCGACAAGATTTACCTCGGAAACAACTGCAGAAAGATTGATGTCATCGGCACCATTGAAAATATTGTCCACTTCAGTCATGTGGGCTTGCGCAGGCTTCTTGCTTAGTTCTTCTTTTGCTTTTGCCTTTGCTACGGCAATCTTTGGCCCGATGTCCCTCTTGTCACAGTGTAACATTTGCCATTAAACTTGTACTTTTTATTTTCCCTTTAGAGCCTTGTGGATGAACTTTCTCCAGAAGACTTTCGTTTCTTGGTTTTTGAAGCATGTTCCACCACATTTGCCTTAGACTCCATAGGAAGCTTACCAGCCCGCTTTTCAGAATGCGGTTGTCCTCGCTCAATCTCAAACACACAATTAACTCGTCCATAGAAATTTCTTTACGCTTGTGTTTGAGGTATTCTTGAATTCCTTCCAGCCTTTTGGTAATTTTTCAATTAAGGTTGCAACTTGAAAGGATTCACTGAGAGACTACCTTCTGCGTGAATTTCATGCAGAATGAGTGGAAATCTTGATCTTGGCGGATCAAATTTTGAATCAACCACACAAATCCAAGAATCTGCCAACCCCAAATTTCTTTGAGCCGGCATCTTCGTTTTATACTTTTTCTCCAACGATTCCCAAAGTTCCTTTGCTATCTTGATTGGACTATGACATTGTATAATGTGTTGTCAAGTCCGTTCAGACGTAATTCCGGCAAAGGAAATCGGCATGTTTCCAACATCAACCGCAGCAACCAATTTGCCGGTCGGTTTCATCCTCTTTCAGATAGGACATCTTCACGGAGAAAACGAGCAGGTTCAGAGTTGTAAGATAGAACACCATTTTCTGTTGCCATCTTTTAAAGTCAGTTCTAAGAACTTCTCTGGCTTTTCAACCGTGATTTACCGGTACTGTTAACAGAAGGAGAGGGGGTCGCTCATTGCACGCCACCACAGTAGTACTTGTTTGGGCAGTGTTTCAGTAGCAATCAATTCTATATATATAAACAAAATTATAATTAGAATTTACACTACACAGAAATTAAACCAAAATTCACAGAATTAAATTCTGTAAAAATAAAAGAAACAAGAATGTAACTTTTATTTTCCAATTAATTTGAAAATAATAAAATTTTATTTAACAAATTAATTCCACACAGAAAATTAAATTCTGTAAAATAAAGAAATAAAAACTATAACTTTTATTTTTCAATTAAGTTGGAAATAAAATAAAATTTTATTTAACCAAATTAATTCCACACAAGAAATTAAATTCTGTAAAATAAAAGAAATAAGAAAATAACTTTATTTTTCAATTAATTTGGAAATAAAATAAAATTTTATTTAACCAAATTAATTCCACACAAGAAAATTAATTAGTAGCACTTCAATAATTAAAATACTGAAACAGAATTTTAAGTAATGAAAACTCAGAAAATAATTTCTAAAATCCAAAATTAATTTCTGAAAAAATTTCACAAAAATATATTATGAATTGTTAATGACACCAGTTCGACTACTAGTTGTTGTCAAGAAAAGAGACAATATATTACTACTATCTATCAAATAGCATATAATCACTATTTGTTTTTTCAACCAGAATATTATTTTGTAAATCCACAGAAAATAATTTCTATTGAAAAGAACAAACGAAAAAATTCTGTAAACAGAATAATTCAATCTGTCTTAAGATTGTTGGAACAATCTTCTGTGTAAATAAAATAACTTGAAATAAATTCAAACAAATAAATAAATAACATACCAGATTTATTTATCGAACGAATAAATTAAGACCAAGTCGAGTGTGTGACACTCTGTCCTTAAGACAGATTCGCCCCGCTATGGTGCTTACGGTTGAATGGCGTCTATCTCCCAGGATACAATGATCTTTAATCACTTGTAGTAGCAC